TGGTACTGGGTGATGTATTTTAACTTGTTTCTCAGATATGAAAAAAATCATTTATGAATGCCTGAAATTTGGCAGATATGGAGTTATGAAGTCTATCTGAGGACCAGGTAGATAATATTTAGGTCAGTGTACTATATTATTTAGTAAGAACTTTGCTGCCGTTAGTAACGTTCATTGGTGGGGAAATGGCTCATCAGTTAACAGCACTGGTTACTCTGGCAGAATCCTTGCAATTCCCACCTCCTACACGGTGGCTCACAACCTCCTGATTGTAACTGAAGTTCCAGGGGATCTGACACCCTCTGCTGGCCTCTCTGAGCACTGCACACATCTGACATACACATCCCCCGCCAACACACACACATACACACACACACACACACACACACACACACACACACACACACACAACACGGGGGAGGGGGCAGATAGCTATAAAATAAAATGAACAAATCTTTATAAATAAAAGAATAACTCAAAATCATGAATGTTCTTCTCAATGATAGAGTAGCAGTTCCTTTGCCTTGACTCTTTTCTCTGTTTGCTGTTCCTGTGTTTCCCCTTTGGCCAAGTCTATGTATTTGCAGCTTTGACAAAAATCCCTGAGAAAAGCAACTCAAGGGAAGAAGATGTTTCAGATCAGGATCTGAGAATACTGCCCACCATGGAGGGCTGGTGCTACGGCAAGATCGCCAGGCAGCTGGTCATATTGCCTTCATCGTCAGGAAGCTGAGGCGGGGAGATGAATGCTGGTCCTTAGCTGTACCTCCCTTTAATTCATCCCTAGACCCTGTCCCATTAACCTAATTGAGAAACTCTGCCACTGTCATATTCAAGGGTTTCCTCTGTGACTCCAAAATCTGTCTCAGGTTGGCAATGAAACTTAGCTGCTACAGTCTGTATAACTGAAAAACAGTAAGTCGCCCCGTGAGAGAACCCAGGGTGGAGACAGACCATGGACGTCTTCTTTACTCCTCTGGCAGTCAGCACCCTGCTATTCCACATGTGCATGGTGTGTCTGCGGCAGCCAGACCATCTTAGGAGGCAGAGCTTCTCTTCAGTGGGCTCCCTCCTGCCAGGCTGAACAGCTCACAAACCCGGGAGCACCCATGCCCTCTTCTGCTGATTCTTATCCTGGGATTCTTGGTTCCTTAGGAGCCAGGGCACAGCAGGCTCCTGATTAAGAGAGAGACTCAAACCAGGTGCCTCCTGCTTTCACTTAGTCATTTAAATGGAAAGCGCCTACCACTTCAACAGACCAGAACTGCTGCAACACTATTTCCGGTAGGGATGGCTTGCCTCCTGAGTGGCTGCCACTACTTGTGCGTCTAAGAGGTGTGTGTGCCTAAGTGGTGACACGGATTTCACAACTCTTAGGAACCCACTTTGCATTACTTAGGGAAAGCCTTAAATGCGCAATGAGGATTCTGAGGCTAATCATCATCAATGCCCAGAACATTACAATAATCCAATGAAACAGAATAGTGTTTCGGAACGTAGCAATTTGTGTAGAAATTGCTGAAAGCCTAGACCCATGCTGAGAACCTTACATAGAAGTAGGCTATAGCTTTGACTGAGGAGTTATTTATTTAGCCTTTTGTTGGTAAATAAGGCAATATTTCCTTCAGGGACTCTCCAGAGCCAGGAGTTCATAGGAGAATACAAATTTCCTTTATCAGAACTGGTGAAGGAGGTTTTGGTGCTGCTCTTACGGATCTTGGGGTCTGAAGGACCTCGGTGGGCCCCGTGGGATGACACTATCCTCACACAGAAGATGTCTGGCTCTCAGGTCAGGAGGTCTGGATGGACTTCCGCTGCATTGCTTGCCGTTAGCAGCTTAGCTGTCCAGGGCGAGTCCTGGGTGAGCATTTTCCTGACTTTTCTCCTTGCATCACAACAGCTGTGCAGGGACATCACTCGAAAAGAAAGGGTTTGCTTGGGTCGCAATTTGAGGTCCAGCCCATCACAGCAGGGCATCATGCGGGGAGAATGAGGCTGACAGTCACTTTGTGTCCTTATCTAGGAAGCAGAGAGAAGTGAATGGCTCACCCTCTCCTTTCTATTCAGTCCAGGAGTGAAGCTAGTGCCCTGGTGACATCCACATTAGGTTAGGTCTTTCCACCTCAATTAACCTAGGTTTGAGAATCCCTCATAGACACGTCCAGAAGTTCACAATCTCCTATGTGATTCTAGGCCCTGTTGTGCTGACACCTTGACCATCACATCAAACCTCCAGTGACTTTAGCTGGAGATTCCCTCCCCAGCTTCACCGTTGCATTGGGTTTTTGCTGCTTCGTGGTAGCCTTGGGGCTGAGGCTAACACACTCTTGAGATGCAGAAAGTTTTCTATGTTGGTGTTTCCTCTAGTAGGCTTACTTTCCCCAGATACAGTCTGGCATCTAATGGAGCAGATATGACCTATTAAAGGTATCCCAAATTCTCTAGGTGATTATCTTAGCTGACCCTCATACAAACTATAAAAAGTGGGTAGCAACATTTTATGAGTGCGGAAATTGAGGTACATGAAGATGGTAGAGGAAGGAAGCAGGACTGGACTCTAGGTAGATTGGCTGCCAGTCAAGGCTTTGAACGCTAAATACTCCAATGGCACCACAATGCCAGGCCTTGGATCGGATTCCAACTTTGACCTAAAGGTTCCCTTCAGAGGAGCATTTTCTTAATGAGTCTTTTCGAGTAGAGCCCCAGGGACTCTGTTTCCTTGCCTTCCGTCTCCTCACGACCTCCTGGCCTTTGACCTCATGCATTTCCTACTCCCTCCACTGGGATCTGTGCCCTGAAAGAAGAACCTTGTTTTGACCCCTGTGTCTGTGCCAATGTCAACGCCTGACGAGAATGACAAGTGAAGGATAAGGGCTGGCAGGATGGCTCAGTGGTTAAGGGTGCTTGCCACTGCATCCGAACATCTGAGTTCTCCAAGGGATTGAAACCACACTTTAGAGGGCAGAGAAACAACTCTCAAAAGTCGTGTCCTGACCTACACACGCATCCATCCACAGACACCATACATCAGCATCATTTCTAAATGTTTTTTAAAAGAATGAAATACTCCAAAAGCAAGCCGTGAGTTGAGGGAAAATCTTTTATCGTATTTAAAATGTTTTGTCCTTCAAGCCAGCACGGGGCACATGCTTTGTATCTGACTCCACGTTGGTTTAGAGGGCTGTGTAGGGTATGGCCTGCTGTTCTGAGTGTAGGTGGTCATGGGAGGGATGCAGCCGGTGAGCCCTCTCTCAGGGAGAACAAACCGCACCTTGGGAAGTTTAGGGAAAGCTTCCTCAAGGGGTTTGTCCACGGAAGGAAGAGCTGACAGGGGTAGATACCCAGGTGGGAGCTCAGAGACGATGTCACCAACGGGGTCTCTGTGTAGTGGGACTCGGGGCAGGCCCATCAGGGTGAAGAGAAGACTTTACAATCTAACCCTTAGCTATAAAGGACTAATGAGATTCACAGGGTCTTGACAACTTCTCTAGATTCTGGACTTCATTGAGCAGGGAGATGTGGCCATGAGAAATTGCAGTTGGTGCCGATTTGATTGATGTCAACTTCACTAATATCTTTCACCATTTTATGGATGGGATAACCGAGCCCAGAAGCTCCCCATTTTAAAACATGGATGGAGCTGGTTTGATTTTTCTCCATCACATTGCCCTCGGGTTTCCTATGCCTGCACCTCAACTTGCGTTCTTTTCTTCCGACGTTTGTCATCAGGAGATTGCGTGGTTGGTAGAGTGTTTGCCTAGCATGTGCAGGGCCCTGGGTTCAAGTGCCAGTGCTCACACAAACTTGGTCCACGAATCCATGCCTGCAATCTCAGGGCTCGGGAATTGGAAGATCGGAAGTTGAAAGTCGTTCTGTTTCATAGCAAGTTCAAGTACAGCTTGGAGTAACCAAGAGCCTGACTTTAAAAAAAAAAAAAAAAAAGGAAAGGAAAAAATAGGGGAGGGAGAGAAGGAAGGAAGGAGAGAGAGAGAGAGAGAGAGAGAGAGAGAGAGAGAGAGAGAGAGAGAACCAATTTCTCTGTGTCCTTATCTTTCAGTCTTCTGGTACACACATTTCAGAGCTCAGCTTCCCGGAGCCCACGCTGTTGCCCCACGAGCGTCCGAGCATACACAGGGGTAGCATCATACGGATTGTATTTTGACCATTGGGCTCTGAGAGAAAACTGCCTTTGTACCAATCGTCTTTCATCTGAAAGGACGGCTGGAGTGCTCAGTCGACTTGGTGGGATGGGGAGGCGCGCAGAGGCTGGCTGCCCACGCTCCGGGCATGCGTGAGCAGTGCCAGCAAAACACAGCTGGCACAGCTAATTTTAGCCACGCCGCCGCCTTGCAGAGAGACCCTTTAAGGAAATATATCTTCTCTGAAACAGTCTGTATTATAATGTAGCAGCTGATAGACGTGTCAGAATATTACTACTGGTGGGGGGGAAACTCTGACAAGTAATTACGAGTTTTTGTTCATTTTTTCTGTAATATTTATAAAGCCCACGAAATCATCCAGAGAGAGAGAAAAAAAGAAAGAGAAAGAGAGAGCAAGATTTTATTCTTTAATAAGCGAATAAACATAAGAATCGCTTTGATTTTTAGTTTTTAGCAGATGGATAAGTCACAAAACATTTTTGAGAGTCAAGCCCACCCCCTTGTTGAGGTGCGACATGACTTCCCCACAGAAGTGCCCAACAGAAAGAACGGCAACTTTTTCTCCGCTCTTCAGCATCCTCCGTGTCCTCTAGAAGGCGAAATGTTGGTTTCATCTTTAGGTCCTGGGTTCATCTGGCTTTTAGTGTGTTAAGAGGTTTTGAAAAAGCCTTGAACACACTTTTCCCCTTCTTAACTAGAAAGACTGGCATGTGTGTGTGTGTGTCTGAGAATGTATATGGACACACATATATGTGTATATATAATTTTTCCCTTCCTCCCTGTGCGACCCCCCCCCTCCACCCCGCAGGGTTTGTTTTGTTCAACAATACCATGCCTTACCTCTGGGAACTTGGCGATTGGAAAGGAGAAGGCAGCTTGGGAGCTTGGGAGCCCCTGTCGGTGCAGGGCAGGGAGGGTTGGGCCATGCCCCACCCAGGCACTGCAAGGGCAGGCTTGGGTTCGGTTCCACCCGGGACTCTGCTGCGGGCGCCACTCATTCACTCTGCTATTCCAGAGAGCTAGCAGAGGGGAAGCAGCAGCCTTTTTCTTTCTTTCTTTCTCTCTCTCTTTCTTTCTTTCTTCTTCTTCTTCTTCTTTTTCTTCTTCTTTTTTTTCCCCTCTTGGAGGAAATACTGCAGCCTTCTGGACTGCGTCCGCGGCTCCCTGGAGAGCCTCTCTCGGTTCCACCCACTGGCTGGAAGGAGGGGAAGTGAATGAGAGGGGGCAAGGCCAGCCCGAACACACCATGTCACTCTGGGAACCAGACAGCAGCGACTAAGCCTGCACCGGTTTCTTTTTCTTTTCTTTATTTTTTTTCTTTTTCTTTTTCTCCTTCCCCCACCCCAGTTTTTTTTTCCTTTCCTTTCTTTTCCCTTTTCGCCCATTGTTTCTTTTTTCCTTTTATTACAATTTCTTTTTCCAAGGTGGGAAAGAGACACGAGACACCGAAAGCTGTACTGCAAGGGTTCCGAGTTGTGCTAAAGGATTTTTTTTCTTTTTTTTTTCCCTCCTCCTTCGCCTTTACAAGCGCCTGCGATTGACACCACTAGAGACAAGCTGGTTAGAGAACAAACTGCTTCCTTCGGACTGGACCGGGCAGCCGGGAAGAAAGCAGGCAGCCAAGAACTGGGGAAGCTGTCTGGGGGTTTCTCCACGAACCTAAGCCCCCATCGGGTTTTTCTTCTTTTTTTCTTTTCTTTTGGTTCTTTTGTTTTGCTTTGCTTTGGTTTTCCAGTTGTTTTAAATTCCTTACGGTGTTGGAACTAGTGAGCGGCGGAGTCTTGGAAGCCTCATCAGTCACCGAGACTGCCGGGAACAGTGGATTAAGAGGAAGAAGCTCGCCTGGGGCATCATATACCCTGTTATTCAGTTTCCTGCCTCGGAGATAAAGATCCCAGCTACATGGGCAAACGCCTGGATCAGCCACAAATGTACCCCCAGTACACGTACTACTGTCCCCAGTACCTCCAAACCAAGGTATGGCTGGACCCGCGAGCTTCTGAAGGCAGCGTGGTGTCTGGTGCTCCTCGGGGGGCATGGCAAGTGGACCCTTCCCTCACCCTCGCCCCCATCCCCTCTGCCGACCGCTTTCAAATTACTAACAGTAGGAATGGAGTTAACAAGGCAGAGGAAGAAGGGAGAGGGAACCCGGAGTGTGGCTTTCCCTTTAAAGACAGGGTACTTTCAATGGAGTGTTCTTTTGTTATTTAGCAGCAGAAATGCTAGTCAGCCGGGAAAGTCTTTTGCAGGTGAGCTGGGATTTTTAGAAAAGAGGTTCCAGCAGACATTCTCAGGGACACGAATACGATTTCAGGAGCTTTTCTAGTAAGCTGTTCTTTGTGTGCGAATCTCAAAGATTTGGGTGCCTCCCCTTGCCCCCCTTCCTTACAGAAAACACTCGGTGGGGGGGCACTTAAACTTTTCATGGCCTAGTGCAGCATGAAGAAGGGCCTGGGGAGGTTCCAGAACACCCACCAAAGTCCCTCAGAGTTTGCTGAGTATGTTTTTTTGCGTTGGCTGTCTTTATTTTATGTGAAGGGTGACTGAGATGCTATGGGCTAAAAGATGTAGAAGCTTAGGATACTGGGTCTATACTTTTAGACTGCCCCCCCCACCCCCATCCCCTTAGCTGCCATCGGAGTCTTGAAAAAAGGCATGGAATGTAACTGATAATAATTGAACTTGAATTGGTTAAAGACTTTGGGCTTTGTCCGAGCATGTGCTTAAGTGATGGGTAGGGGTCCAGAGGCAAGCCCACAACACTGAGCCGAGGGCAGCACCAAAGCCGAACTCTTACCCTTCAGTTAACGTATGAAAGACTGTTAGGTGAGAAATCAATTCTCCAATTTGTCAATTAGATTGGACTTGAGAAGGGGGGGGGGTAAAATGTTTGTGCTATACTCACCTCAAGTACACAGACAGTCTGATTTTGTATTGCATTAACTAACCCCCACCGTCTTCTTAGCAAGTACACATGCAAGAGTGAGCAAGGCATGCCTGAGCCATGTGTGCTGTCACCGGGTTTGCTGGCATTATCACCAGGGCTTGGTAATTCATGCTATGGTTATCTCCCATTTATTCGGTCTCATCAGACAATGCCCATTTGAGAACCAAACTGGACAACCGTCTCTCAGGAGTGCATTTTCAAGACTGACGTTTCTTTTTCCATTTTGTTTTCCTTTTTCGATGACTCTAAGCTTTTGCTCCTCCAAGGTCGACTCACGTTGCTTTTTTGCCTTTGTGTCCACTTAGTTTGGGCAGCCACTGCTGCCTAGCCAGACCAAGCCTCCCTCCTGGTGCCCTGAGGATTAACTCTTTGGGGAACTGGGTAGAGAATGCTGCCCTGCTACTTTCCTTAAAGAAATGGTTGGGCAAGTTTAAAAAAGAAAATATTTGCAGGTGTTTTTCTCCCCCACAGAAACAAAAACAATAAGCCCAGGGGTTGCCTGAAAAATGTCAAGCATTCCAAACCTTTTACTCATCGGGCTAAATTTTTCCAAATGTTTCCCAAATCGTGCTTTGTGCTTGTTCTGGTTTTCCAATGCTGTGTGCAGCCGCAAGAGAAAGTTTTTGACTGAAGTGAGTGAAAGATTTGGGGTTTTTGTTTTGTTTTTCTCCTAGATTGCCCTTAACCTATGACTAGCAGGGAGTAACGAATAATGTGTAGAGTTAAAGATGCAGGCTGCCAAGTGAGCCACCCTAGGAGATAGAGGGAGAGAGAGAGAGAGAGAGAGAGAGAGAGAGAGAGAGAGAGAGAGAGAACGGGGAAGAAAGAGTGCAGTAGTGATGGACGAATGGAGCCTGGAGAAACACTGAGAGGTTTTTAAGTCTGTTTGGGGTCCTGTGTGGCTTTAGTGCCCTGTGGACTCTGGCAGCGTCTCTGGGTCTTATTACTTTCCAATCAGCCCAAGCCATGGGCATCTGGAACATTTTTAAGAAGTTAGTTCCATTAGGCATCCCAAACTGAGATTTAGGTAATCAGATGAGGGCCAGGAGGGATTGTCAGGTCAGCGACTTCGGCTGTTGGGGTGGTCATATTAGCTGTTATGCTGTAGAACTTCAGTATGGCGGTGCGGGTGTCCCGTATTTTTCTGGTGTCTGTGGAATGGCAGACGTTAATGACATCCCAGGAAGCTGGAGATGTGAAAGGTTGGATTCAGAGGAACCACCAGCGTGAGGTTCTATTTGAGCACGTGGGGACTCTCTGACAGAGTTCATCCAATCCAAGGAAGCACTGTCAGGAGTGTGGAGGGCAATGTGTGCAGCTTCCGCATGACCTTTGCCCTTTGCACACATACCTATCTCCAAGTAGAATTCATAATCAGTTAAGGGAAGGGCGTTATGCTTATGTTTATGTGATGGGCTTAGATGAACTCCACGGAAATCCACTTCTCCAGCTGTTTAACTGCAACTTAGGTTTCTCGTTGCAACTAACAGAGACAATGTTCATAGAAATAGAATCCTATGGTTGATCAAAATCACATTCCAGGGGTATCAGCCCTTAAAACGGCTGCTGAAAATCAAGTGGTTTTCCTTCCTGATATACAAGAAGGCTAGAAGGCTGTGGGGTGTGTGTGTGTGTGTGTGTGTGTGTGTGTGTGTGTGTAGCGGGAGAATCCTTGTAGGGATTCTTAAAGAACCCAAACCAGACCAGTGTTTAGTATAATTTTCAGAAAATGTAAGACAAACAAAAGCAATCCAGGCTCTTGCTTTGTACTTAAATAGTGAGATGCTAGGCACAACTTTTAATTTCTCATGAGAAAACAGAATGAAATTCATATTCTGAAGATTAAGTCTTCTGTTTCCTCAAATGTATATTGTAGTGCAGGAAGAGGTAAGTCCACTTTCTTCTCTTTTCCCGTTATGTAAGAACTTAACTTTCTACTTTGCTTTACTAAAACAAAATATAGAAATAGGCTATTTCTTTTTCTCATCTCCAAGAATAGTTTTCTAGAGGCTTAAAATGCTTTATAGGAGACAAAACGTGCATGTAGCCTAAATAGTAGTAGATAGTAACTATTCAGCAGCCCGAAGTGCACAGAACAGCATGTATTTGAATGACATGAACTCTGGGCTGTGCTTTGTGGCAGTGCTGTGCTGTGCTGTGCTGTGCTCACATCTTCTGATGCTTAGTTTCTGTTGGACTGATGCTTTTTCTCCTTGCTAGAGAAGACAGTCTCAAGGAGGGGCATGGCTTTTGGTCATGGCATGATGAAGAAACTTAGTGATGTGTTATAATACTGAAGTGAGTGATGTGGCTTGGTTTTTAAAAGTTTCTCAAAGCAGACTGCCGCTTAGAAGGGTGGAAAGACCCGTCCACGGTTCTAGAGGTGAGAAGGCTGAAAGATGTACGTCATCTTGCTGGCGAAGTACAAAATGGCATTTGACTCTTAAAACTCCACGTTTTTCGGAAAATCCCCTTGTTGGTGTTGCATTCTGAGACTCCAGGTATATTTTGCCTTAAATTTCAGACACTTTGAGTTGGACTGTTTCTTAAAAACCAGCAATAAAGCATCAAACAGACAGCAAAGTAATTGAAAGGAGAAAGCCAGAAGGGCGGCACATTTACTCACTGCTCGGTGGTTTGGTATTCCTGGATATTGTGGTTATGGATATTTCTCTCTTACAAGATATTTGGAAAACTTTAGTCATGTTTCTTAAACTTTAGAAAGAACCCCCAGCAGGTGTCTCCATTCTTGCTTTTACATAACCTTCCTGGCTCGCAGACTTCCTCTGCCAGCCCAGCAATCAGAACAGTGTTCCCCTCTCTGTTCAGTTTCCCCTAAAACTCTTGACGAGGGGCTCAAACTAAGAGGCCCTTCCTGGGTTCCTCTGGCTAGTGGCATTCAGATGACATTCTGAGCCTTACTGAAGCGGGATCAGGTATGTGGGCCGAGTCCCACCCACTGTGCCCTGACTTTAGCTTGAACCACCACCGTTTGCAGTCAGCCCAGCCTGCAGCCTCCCGCTAAGAGTCTAGCTGGGGTGCTGTTGGTCATGGAGAGATCATACGCTGGAGAACACGAGGGGTGAGGAGCGGACAAAGAGCAGG